GGGTTTCTCTCCAGTGTGAATTCTTTCATGTTGCTTACAACCTCCATGTGTGGTAAAAGCTTTCCCACATTGCTTACATATGTAGGGTTTCTCTCCAGTGTGAATTCTTTCATGTTGATTACAATTACCAGGGTGGGTGAAACATTTTCCACATTGCTTACATACATAGGGTTTCTCTCCAGTGTGAATTCTTTCATGTTGTTTACATTCTCCATGTGTTGTAAAAGATTTACCACATTGCTTACATACATAGTGTTTCTCTCCAGTGTGAATTCTTTCATGTTGTTTACAAATTCCAGGTTGAGTGAAACCTTTTCCACATTGCTTGCATACATAGGTGTCGCGAGTGTCTAGTGCACCCGGGATCCCAGGAAGAGGTTCACACACCAAGTCAAGTTCGGGACACGGGGGGAGCAGTGCAGAGAAGAAGCAGAGAGAAACAAAGATTGCAACTGCACACTAAGTCTTTATTCTAAGGCTCCTATATAGTAAAACCAGGTCAGCTCATAGAGTAAAGGCAATTATCTTGAAAAAGCACTCTTTGTGACAAGATTTGTGACCAACTATAAAATTTATCTCTACTCTCTAAGTTAAGCAAGCAAAAACAGTTCTTCTAACCACACTAACCCAGGAGGAATCCAATTAGCCCAAGAATGCACTCCAATTAGCTCAAGGATGCTCTTAACTATGTTTGTTCTTTCTAGCCACCTGGAGGTTGGCCACCTCCCCATGACCCTGCAAACAAAGCCAAGTCACACAGTATGAGTTAGAGGGGGGAACATTTTCCCACACTGGGATCCAGGCCTTCCCATCCAGTCTCTGTCCTGCATACCGGGGGCTATTGTTTATTGCAGGTCACGAGGGGGCCAGAGCCTCAGGTTAACTTTTCATCCTCCACACTTCCTCCCTTTTTATTTTTTTAAAAATAATTTCCATAAGACCAGATTATCTGTAGCATTTCGTCTTATGCAGTAAAAATACACAAGAACTATGGCAATGAGAGCTATAATTAAGCTAAGTCCCATGCCGCTTAAAGTGTGGATGAAGCTCTGCCAAGTTCCTTTAGGGTCCAGCCCTTCCAAGGAATGGGCAAGCAATTGAGCAAATTGTGCTCCAAAATGTGATTTTGGAGATTATGAGGGTATTCTTCGGCTGCAACAGCAGTATTGGCGATTCCACCATCTTCCCACCACAGGAGATGTGTCTTTCGAGGGAAGCTCCATCAGTTATGTTCTTCGGATCTGGAAGACTATATATAACAGAGAGATTACATCTTGTCTCATTCCATTCAGCACATCCATTAACAAATTTTCCAAATGGTCCCCAAATAATATATCCATCAATATTTTTAGCAAACTTCCCCCTACATTGTTGCCAAATTATGGGATTATAAGAAATATTATGATAAGTGAAATCAGGGCATACAGGATATGTGTTTTTATCAGGTGCTGTTAAATTTTTCCAGGTAACATTAAAAGTTTGAGCAGCCAAAGCTTGAAGCTTTGTCCTTATGCTGCCTGCTTTTATCCCATGTGGAATCCAATACTGCCATCCCAGAGGGATGCAAGGCGGTTCCCCAATACAAATAGGCCTTTGATGCCATTTAACTTTTATTATTTGCTTTGTTGAAGCTCCAACTTAAAGTCCATCCACCATGTGTTTTGCTCATGAAAAATTTGAACTATTTCAATTTTGAACTGTTTCAAAATTTGAACTGTGACATCTATATTAAATTTCTAAAATTTAAATACAATCCTTTGTTTGAGTGTCTGTGTTCCAAAAACTTTAAATATTGGATTGTATATCTACATATAAATTGTTTTGGGAAACAATAAGCTATATGGTGTCTGTAACACTGCCCAACACATGATATAATCTCACATAATGTTTCATGTGGTATGAATGACTCAGTTTTCCCAAAATTCATATATTGGAACTTATGTTCCAATGTGATGATATGAGATGGTTTGATAAGGCCTTTGAAAGTACTGAGATCACTCAGAAAACTCACCAATAACATATATTCACTTATAAAGTTGACCAAACACAACTTGTCCACCCCTCTTGGCATATGAGAACTCAGCTGCAAGTTACCATCTTTTAAAAGAAAGTCTCAATTCAAATGTATGTTGCAAATCATTGGTCATGGGATTCCCTAGGCTTCAAAACTGTGATAAATAATTATTTCATGCAATGAACTGATCGGCAAATTTGGTTATGGTATCTAGCTAAAAGTTTTAGGCAATGGCTAAAAATATGTTTATGAATTGTTTACCGCCAGTGAAGAAAGCAAGGAGATAACAAAAATATGATATTTTCATTTCTTCATTCAAACTGAAGTATGTACTCATTCTTGTACAAGTGTGAAGACATTTTCTCTCCTCAGTAATACACATGATCAATTCCATGAGTATCCAATGGAAGGTAAAGTAGTGGACTGGTGTTTCACTGTATCAGTGTCCATGCAATTAGTTTAATCTTAAGATAAAAGTAAGTCTTTGTATAAATTTCAAAACAGAAGAAACCAGCAAAACATAGACAGGATCCTAGAATCATACAGGCATCTTTAAATAATTTGATAGAAGCCTATGATAAAAAAAATTTTCTAGAAATTGGCCAAAAGTATGCATTATGTTTGAAGAGAAATTGTTCAAGCAGCCAATAATGCAGAATTTTTTCTAAATATTCTTAAGTGAAAAGTCTCTTATATATAACCTCCTGTGATGTCAATGCCAAGTTCTTGTTAAATTAAACACTCAAATAAATTATTTTACATTTCTTTTTTTTTTTTTTTTTTTTGTCTTTTTCCTTTTTATTGGTACCAGGGATGGAACTCACGACTGCCTGCTTGCAAGGCAGGTGCTTATGCCGCTGAGCTAAATCCCCAGCCCATATTTTACATTTCTAATGACTGATGCATGTAACTTTATATATTGTCAGTAACATAACCACCATGGAGTGCATTCTCTCTTAAAAATGCAGGAAAAGGGAAAATCTTTACAACATATGACAGAGCTTCAGTCATGTTAATTTGGCTCATGGAAAAATTATTTATTAATTTCATTTAGCATAATTATAGTACATAAAACATATTTCATGTGTAATGAAATGTTTTCATATGTGGTTATATTGTAAAATGATTATTGCAATTCCTCTCACTGGCATACTTATCACCAAACACATTTACTTTCCAAGTATGTGGCGATAACAACTAAAAGCAACTTTCTTAGCAAATAGCAACTGTATAGGGATCCCTACATCAGTCACTATTAACCACCAAGTGATCTATAGCTGTTTCATAGGTCACAAGAGAAACATTGAGCCTTTTAATTAACATCTCTCAGTTTCACCAACCTCTTACATGACAGCCATCATCGTGACCCATAATGCTGGAGGACTGACAACTTTAGATATGGCATCAATAAAAAGGAAGGCACCACCTTATGAATCAGCCTGATCTTTCTGTACTGCTCTCCTGTGAGGAGTTCATGCAGCTGACCATATCTGCCAATGGCTGGTGATCAAAAGCCCATCCTCTGAGATCTGAGGGACAGGAAAATGATCCTATGTCCTGCTATGATGAACAGAATGATGGGTTCCATCTGGGACATTGTGTCCCCAACGTTACTCCTGAGGTGCTGAAATGGTCCATATAGGATGAACTTGCTCCTGGCTTTCTAGAGCAGGTACCTGCTTTCTAAGTGTATTTTGTCAGGCTTTCCTGCTGCTCTGTCCTGGAAATAGAGCAGTAAGTGCGCTCAGATTTCTAGACTCTGTCCTGTTGAGACAACAGAACTCAGAAAGGAGGGTGGCCTAGAGCACTTGTGGCTCCATAGCAGAGGGTAGTGTGGGATGTCACTTTTCAGCAGTGTGGAAAGAGGCAGCTGGATTCATTGCCTAGGATTTTTCACACTTTTTCAGTCAGCTAGGCTCTCTTACTTTTTTAAGATTGGGGCTGGATCCAGGGCACTTGTGTAGCCACATCCCCAGCCACTTTCTTTTCTTTTCTTTTTCTTCTTTTTTTTGTTTGAAAGTGTTTTGGTTTATTGCATAATTTCTGCGCAAATCCACAAACTTGTAAAAATGTAATTCTTTTATCAGCTTTCCTGAGTGCTGAGATTACTGGAGTGTACAAACATAGCTGGATATGATAGATTTTAGTAAAAAATTAGGAAAACATAAAAATAAAGGGCTAAAGTTATGTACATATCTACTATATTCACTAGGCAGCATTATTCTACAGAACAACCAAAAGTGAAAAAAAGCCACCTGCTGCTACTGTCAAAGAAAATTCCACATTCAGACTATTAAATCTCTTCTCCACATAGAAGGTGAGACCTACGGGTCACACTGTGTCCTGGTGATGAGGCAACAAGAAGTCAAAATGCTAACTCTGCAGCTGAGCACGGTCTGCTGCTCCCCTTTCCCAGTGTGAAAAAGCAACCTCTTACACCCTAATATCTACTAGAGGAAGACCTTTTCCTGCAGTCACTGCAAAGTTCTCCTTAACATGTAAAATTCATCACCCTTTTCTCCAGAAACTACATAAAAAAATCTTTCTCTGAGCATGACCACAAATATTTAATGTATAGAAACTAGATTTGCCAGGCATGGTGGTGCACACCTGTAATCCCAGCACTTGGGAGGCTGAGGCAAGGGAATTGTAGCAAGTTAGAGACCAGCCAGGGCTACAAAATGAGCCAAGGCCAGCCTGATTTGCACAGTGAGACTCTGTCTCAAAAAAAAAAAAAAAAAAAAAAAAAAAAAAAAAGTGAAACCAGAGATTCATATCCATAATTCCTAAGGAAAATAAGGTCACAACCTCAGAAAGGAAATATGCTCAGGATAGCCAGTTCATAAACAAATGTGCTTTCCCCATGATGCTTGAGTAAAATGCTAAGTGGTTGAGAGAGAAAAGGATAACTACTCATGTGTAACTCTTAGTCTTAGAATAATCTAAAGGGAATCAGTCTGGGAGTACGAAAGCACCAGCCTACATCTGCAGAAACTGAAGATATATTTTGAAACAAGATTCTACCAAGTTGAACAGGCTGAATGCAACTGTTTTATCCACCCAGTGAAGCCTCTTAAGTTCCTGGGATTACAAGTATGCATCAATAGTACCATCAACTTTTATTTTCATGGTAAAATGAGAAGATAAATGTACTCAGGACAAATGTCATAAAGATTCAATATTCAATTAGAAGCTGGAAGAGCAATACACAGGACATATTTTCCTTGTGACAGTAATCAGAAATGTGCTCCAGGGAAGTTGGCCACATGTTGTAAGTTATAAAAATTGGCACTGTACAGTCTCTAGTCCACGAACTATATATGTCAGATATGAAATTGACATAATTTTAGAAGAAATTACACAATTGGTGAACAGTTTATGTGTTGGAGCATAATTCAGACTAAATAAAACTATACTCATTGTACTAGGGATACGTAATGTAGTACTCACAGATGTTTTCCTAATACCATAGGTTTGTGTCAACATAATTCTTTCAGAATTTGAGTAGTTTTTGTATTCAAGAACAGTGTATTAAGAACTTTACAAATTACACCTATGTTAAAAAGAGTGAAAAATACAGGTCAGTGTGATTGACAGGGGATTGACAGCAACTGGTACATACTGCAAACATCAGACAATGTTCTCATGAACACTGAAATGGTATTGTATAGATTTATCTCAAAAACTGGTTAAAAACAGCACATTCATCTTTTACAACACTGATAACTCACAATTTAGATTTTCCTTCCATTCATTAGTTCAGTGTATTAAGAAAAAGCAATAATAATTACAAATAGAATAAAATACATTTTGGTATCAACCAATTTCCCAAAAGCAACTGAGAAAATTTCCTTTTGGTGTGTTGTTACTGATGAATCATACTATTGTTTATACTTCCTGGAAATATTACTATAATTCCTGATATGCTTTTCAAAACAATTTATGGTTCAGCTGGTTTGGAGCAATCAGAAATTCACAGTAGTATGGTTTATTTTTGGTACATATGATCAAAAAATAACAATAAAGTAAAAATCAATGCAATATAAACATGACAAGTAAAATTTGGGTGGCAAGAAAATATAAATGTTTATGTAAATGGTAACATTGGCAACAATAAGAAAAAAAAACAGGCAACACAATGTACATGACATGAGAGACAATGACGTTAGGGTATAAGCAGGTATCTTGTCACAATATGAATAACACGACATTTGCCAATCTACAAATTGTGTGAAAAATAACTCAACTTTGTCAAAAACACATGCCCACAAGCCTCTGAAATTGTGTATCTTAATATAATATGTAGCATCAAATTCAGAAACATCATTTGTTACACCAAAGATGAAGTATAGGCATCAAAAATTGAACAAAAACATAAGAGGCAAAAATCCCAACAATTAATAAAAATAATACAAAAATGGAGTCATTAGTGGCCTATATCTTCCAGTTTTAAAGACAAAACATTAACTACAAAGACATTAACCATACTTGAAAGTAAAATGTGAATTTCAATTCACGTTTAATTAAAACACACTATGGTTAAGCACAAAGACACTCAAAAATGCAAATTTACATCAACTCAGTATTTTTTATATTAAATCCTATACGTACAAAATCTGGATATTTATAAGTGACTTATTGAAAACCATACCACATAGTAATTTAGGAGCGCTCCACCTCAGATTTGTATTTTCTGGAACATTTGTGAAGAAATATTGATATCAAATATCTTGTACTAATTATTTCTTCTGGTCTCCACATGAGAAATTTTCACCAGATTTTCAAAACAAGATCTTTATATATATATTTTGTTTGTATTTCTGTTTGAGACAAGGTCTCAATATGCAGTTTAGGTGGCCCTTGAGCTTACTTAGTAGCCCAGGCTGGTCTTGAACTCACAATGATCCTCCTGCCTCACTCTCTGGACTGCTGGGATTATAGGCCTGGGCTACCACACCCAGCTCAACAACATTATATATATTAAATGTGTACCCATTGAGGATTCTTTCATATGTTTCAAATAGTGTGTGGGCAGGCATCATTTCCGCATTACTTACCCACATATGGCTTCTGCCCAGTTAAGTTTTTTTCATGTATATTACATTCACTGGGCCTGCTGAAAGCTTTCCCACATTGCTTATATGTAGGCAGTGTTTATTCCTTGTGTGAATTCTTTTTTAAATTTTTTTAATTTTAAAGAGATTAAAACAAAAGAGGACATAACAAAGCAGATCAGAACAGAACCATGTAAGCAACACAGTATTTCACCACAAGACAACCCATAGTTAACTGTAGCTACCATAATGTCTCTTTCTTTGAAAGTTGAGTATAACTTCATATACAATAGTATCAAACATAACAAAATAGCATAAAACCATTCAAGAGAATGAAAGTATTACAGGACATTCAGAACCAAATAACAGAAAATGAACAAAGGTTACTACATTATCTCATTTTCCATAGAAACCCTGTGTGAATTCTTTTGTATGTTTGCCAATGACTGTACTAAAACCTTTCCCACACTAGTCACACACATAGAGTTTCCCCCAGTGTGAATTCTTTCATGTATATGATAAGATTTGCCTGTGGTGAAAGCTTACATACATAGGATTAATACCCAATGTGAGTTCTTTCATGTGTTTTACATTGACTGTGCCTGGTGAAACTTTTTTCCACACTACTTACATACATAGGGTTTCTCTCTAGTGTTAAGTCTTTCATGTATATGACAATATCGCTGTGTGGAGAAAGCTTTCCCACACTGCTTACATACAAAGGGTTTCTCTCCAGTGTGAGTTCTTTCATGTATTGTACGATAACTGCACCTGTTAAAAGCTTTTCCACATTGCTTACATACATAAGGTTTCTCTTCAGTGTGAATTCTTTCATGTATTTGACAATACCCATGTGTCGTAAAAGCTTTCCCACATTGCTTACATACATAAGGTTTCTCTCCAGTGTGAAGTCTTTCATGTGCTTTGCAATTTGCATTTGTGGTAAAAGCTTTCCCACAGTGCTTACACATATATGCTTTCTCCCCAGTGTGAGTTCTTTCATGTCTTCAACAATGAGTGTTTCTGCTGAAAGCTTTCCCACATTGCTTGCACATGTATGATTTCTCCCCAGTGTGAGTGATTTCATGTGATTGACAAGAGCATTTTGTGCTGAAAGCCTTTCCACATTGCTTACATACATAGGGTTTCTGCCCGGTAAGAATTCTTTCATGTCTTTGACAACATGAAAGTGTTGTGAAAGCTTTCCCACATTGCTTACATACGTAGGGTTTCTGCCCAGTGTGAATTCTTTCATGTATTTGACAAGCTCCAGGTGTAGTGAAAACTTTCCCACATTGCTTACATACACAGAGTTTTTTTCCAGTGTGAATTCTTTCATGTATTTCACAATACCCACGTGTTGTAAAAGCTTTCCCACATTGCTTACATATGTATGGTTTCTCTCCAGTGTGAATTCTTTCATGTTGCTGACAATTTCCACGTTTGGTAAAAGCTTTCCCACATTGCTTACATGCATAAGGTTTCCCTCCACTGCAGTGTGTTTCATGGATCTTAACATCATTGTGTGTGTCTGTTTCTTTCACATCCACATTTCCATCTTGGGTACAAGGAAATGTTTCTTCATACTGATTCCAAGTTTTATATTCATTGCATTTCTCTATCTTGTCATTTCTGTAAAGAGAAAAAAGTCACAATGAAATGGGGTCTCTGTATTAATGATTTACCATAAATGATTTACCATTTTCCTTAAATAAATGATTTACCATTTTCCTTAAAAGAAAACCAACTAACCATCAGAATTAGAATGGTAAATAGATAAAAAATATGAGATATAAACAAGACAAGAAACTATTTAGTGAATACACAGTATAAAGATTTTGCACAGGGAGTAAAGACCAATGAACCCAAATCTAAAAAAAAAAAATGACTAAAACATATCTAACTCAAGCAAAAACAAGGAATAAATAACAAGGACCAAATTGTTTTTATATTTCACTAAAGAAAATGGAAGTGTGGAAGAACACAGTAAGGACATAGGCATGTGAGAGAATGGACAATCAATTACTACACTCTGCATTCATTACTTTTACTTAGACCAGTAACTTTTCTTCATTGAGAAAGAAACACACTATTATTATTATTCCTAAAGAACAACATGACTCTTTAAAGCAAACTTGAAAAGTCCTACATCACATAACCAATGAAATGGATGAGAAAGCACTTAGCTCTTTATTCACATAGCAACACTTAAGAAAAATACAGAAAAAAACTTTTTAAAGTTTTTTTTATTTAAAGAGAGAAAAAAAAAAAACCAAAACAAAGCAGTAAAAGAGTACAAGTAATCGAAAATGTCAAGAAAAAAAGATACAGTAAGAAATCACTGGTTAACAGATTACACATTGTCATCCCAGAAACAGTTGTCCAATACAAAATTAAAGCATACAAAGTAGACATTCATACAGTGAGATTGCAGACAGTTCTGTTCAATGATCCAACAAAAACTTGGTATTATGGTTTTCTATCCTATACTTAAGCATACATGCAGTTATATCCTTTAGATCACCTTCCTTTCCTCTCTTTTTTACAATAACAATTATACTCTTTGGGTTTTATTACTCCCACAGTTCTTATAACTTTTTTTTGAAGAGAAAAAAAAACAAATGTAACATAGCAAAACAGAGTTAGGTAGAACAGAAGGATGGATATAGTACATGATGCAAAAACAGAATACCAGGTGATCAACAATGGTCACCATTATGCCTCTTGCTATCTTAAAAAGAGTTGCCTATATCATCAGGTATAGTAGAACTGAACAAAAGAGTACACAAAAAGACCAATAAAACCTACATTGGAGACCTTACAGGACTTCAAAAGAAGATAATAGTCAAACAATAATGGGCATCATAGTAAATCTTATTGCCTTCAAAGTGGTTGCCTATACCCTCAAAATTGATATTATCAAATAAAACAGAATATAGTAAAATCAGTCAGAACAAGATGGGGAGAGCATTACACGGGTTCAAATAAGATTAATAGGAAAACAAAAAAATTTCTATAACATATACTGATATTTTTTAATTTAGTTTTCCCTTGAAAAAAAAATAAATTATTTAAAAAAGAAAAAAAAGGGGGGGGGGAGATTGAGATAAAAGAGGACATAGCAACTGAACAACACAGGTCAAAACCTAACAATTTAAGCATCATTGTGTTTCACCATCAGATAACCTGACATAATGTAGTCACCATAGTGTCTCTTTTCCTTGAAATATTTAAGTATAACTTCGTATACTATAGCATCATACATATCAAGATACTGTGAAGCCATTCAAGAGAATGAAAGTGTTACAGAGTATTTAGAAGCAGCTAACAGAAAATGAACAATGGTTTCTATATTATCTCTGCCTATAAAAAAGTTTTGTTTATACTATTGCATGTAGTAAAATATAATAAGATACAACATGTTAAAACCAATGGAAACAGATGAACAACAGCTAGATGGGACTTCAAAACAAGATGATATTAAATCAGCACTAGCAATTGTGATGTCTTGTTTTCTTTAAAATAGCTATGCATACTATCACAGACAATAAAATTGAACAACCTAAATTAAAACCATTCCAATTAGAGAGTGAAAACATTATATGGCTTCAAACCAATATGATTGGGAATCATGATTGCCACATATTTTTATGTATTCTTATCATTTCTTACAATAGGGAAACTATTTGGTATTTATACATGTGAGTTTGATTTATTTCACTTTTGGATATGGTCTCAAGCTGCATCCATTTATTTATAAATATCTCAATGTGATCATTCTTTATAGCTGAGTAGTACTTCATTGTATAAAAATACCACAACTTTTTTATCCATTCCTCAGTTGATGGACACTTAGGTTGTTTCCATGATCTGGCTATTACCCGTTGTGCTGCTATAAACATGGATGCATATATATCAATGAAGTATGATGCTTTCAGTTCTTCTGGAAATATGCCTAGACGTGGGATAGCTGGATCAAATGGGGCTTCCAATCACAGCTTTCTGAGAGATCTCCAGACTGACTTCAACAATGGTCGCACCAGTTTGCACTCCAACCAGCAGTGCAGGAGAGTTCCTTTTTCCCCACAGCCTCTCGAGCATTTGTTGTTGGTTGTTTTCTTGATATTGGTCATTCTTCCAGGAGTGAGATGAAATCTCAGTGTGCTTTTAATTTGCATTTCTCTAATGACTAACGATGATGAACATTTTTTCATGTATTTCTTCATCTGAGAATTGTGTATTCATCTCAGATGCCCATTTTTGGATTGGATCTTTGAATTTTGGGGGTCTGATTTTTTTTTCATTCTTTATATGTTTTAAACAGAAGTCCTTTGTCTGAGGGACAGTTCACTAAGATTTCTTCCCCATTTGTGGGTTTTCTTTTCACTATGCTGGAGATTTCTTTTAGTGTGCAGAAAGTTTTTAATAAGAGGTGATTCCAGTTATTGACCCTGGGAAGTATTTCCCATGTGGTTGGAGTCCTGTTCATGAATTCTCTACCTATTCCTATGTCTTCAAAGTTTTCACTCAATTTGTCTTCTAATAGATTTAGTGTTTCTGTTTTAATATTTAGATCTTTGATCTATTTAGATTTTATTTTAGTACATGGTGATAGGCATGGGTCTACTTTTAGTTTTTGGCATATGGAGAGCCAGTTTTTCCAACACCATTTATTAAAGAGACTGTCGTTCTTCCAGTGAACATGTTTGGCCCCTTTATCAAAGATAAGGTGGCTGAGTGTGTTTGTACTTGTGGTTGTATCCTCTAATCTATTCCACTGATCTTTGGCTCTGTTTTGGTTCCAGTACCATGTTGATTTTACTACATTTGCTTTGTAGTATAATTTCAAGTCAGGGATTATGATGCCCCCTGCCTTGCCTTTGCTGCTTAGAACTGTCCTTGCTATTCTAGGTCTCTTTTCACTCCAGATGAATTTTAGGAGTGATTTCTCAAGATCTATGTGGCATGTTGATGGTATTTTTTACAGGATTACATTGAATCTGTATAGCAGTTTTGGGAGAATGTCCATTTTCACAATATTTATTCTTCCTATCCATGAACAAGGTATGTCTTTCCATTTTCTGATATCATCTTCAATTTCATTATTCAGTATAGGCCTTTCACTTCTTTCATGAGAATAATTGCTAAATATTTCATTTTTTTGGTTGCTAGTGTGAAAGGTGTGGCTTCTCTTATTTCTCTCTCTGTGATTTTGTTGTTAGTGTATAGGAATGCTATGGATTTTTGGGTATTGATTTTGTATCCAGCCACATTGCTAATTTTTTTTATTATATCTAGGAGTATTTCAACGGCATTTTGGGGGTCTTCTATGTAGAGTATCATGCATCTGCAAATAATGACAATTTAACTTCTTCTAAAAAAAACTTTTGAAAAGAATTTTCTTTGCAAATTTATAATGATCATTTATTAAAAAATCCAAGGGAGAAAAGCAAAACAACCTTTTTCTTTGAAACTCACAGATGGTAAACTTAGGGAAAGTCACCAAAAATGGAGAAAGGACATCCATGGGGTAAGAGAGAGTTGAATCATGTAGGGTATCAATCACCTGGATGCTCTCACCCTTTGCTGAAGCACAGTGAAGAAACTTTCTGAGTATTTCCAGGTTATTAACATTATTAGTGTTAACTCTAACTGATAATTTGAAAAATAAAAGTTATTGCAAAATATTGAAGCAAAACTCACCATTAAGAAAGTACACATTAAGTTGTACCTATCTATATTCATGTATGAAAGAAGAGACAACATTCACACACTGGGCAGCAATAAGCAAAGTAGCACAGTTACAAACAGGAGATGCACAGAGCCTCAGCAAGCAGGGGTCAAACTCACCACAGCCCATCAGAAAGACAGATAAGAATGTTAAAGAAAGACAGAACAGATCAGAGCCTACACATCTGGGCTATGGTCCCAGTGCTGTGCCTACTTGGATAGGAGTGCTTGTTATTTTGACACTGATGAGGGTAGATAACATAGAAATTTATGAAAAAGACACACTAGTCTATATGTTTCCTATGTGTTGATTCAAAAAATCTGCAGAAGCTGTTTTAATTTGACACTGTTGAAAGTATCAAAATAATTCCAGTGATCATATAATGGAATAAAATCCAGTTCTTTAAAAAAGAACAGTCCTGGACATGAGTGTGGTGGATTAACTAAAGGGAACCTTGGAATACCCAGCTGAATTGAAACAGTATGGTTCTGGGTGTGGAATGCTCACATGAGGATTGCTGTCCATGGGGTAAAAAGAGAGGTGGAGGGGAAGATAGCATGCTGTGCTGGATCAGCTTATCTTGCAGGTTTTCCTGACATGAACTCAGGTGTTCAGGGGAGCTCTTGTCTATACCTTTAGCATTGCTTTCTAGCTCTAGTACATATTCTGTCACAGAGCACATCTCTATCCTAGTATACAATAATACAACATATAGGGCTGGGGATTTAGCTCAGTGGCATAAGCACCTACCTTGCAAGTGCGTGGGGAGGAGTTCGATCCTGGTACCAAAAACAAACAAACAAGTCATATGTATTAATTATAAACAGCTGGACTGGGAATAATAAACTTCATAGGTAGCCCTCAGATGACACAACAACTTTAAATATTAAAACTCATATAT